ATTTTGGACATTTCATATAAATGGAATCATACACTGTGGGGTCTTTTGTGAGTGGTTTCTTTCACTTACCACAATGTCAAGGTCTTGGCAGCTTTTTTAACCCCCTGCCCTCTTAATCGGGAGCAACACAGCCAAGGATCACGTTCGGAGTGACATCTTGGGAAAGCCTCTAATAAAGATATAGACCACAGTAAACACAAAAAAAAGCAACTTGAAGGAAACAGATACTATGGGGGGGAGGGGAGGAGCAGGGGAGAAGTACCATTAATATTCTCACATAAAGGAAATAAAACTGCCTCCATGAAGTGCAAATAGGATACTATTAAAAAAAAAAAAAAAAAAACACTCAGAGCCCTGGCCAGTTTGGCTCAGCGGTTAGAGTGTCGGCCTGCGGTCCGGAGAGACCCGGGTTCGGTTCCCGCTAAGGGCATGTACTTCGGTTGCAGTTTGTCCCCGGCCCTGGTTGGTCGTGCGGGTGGCAGCCACTCGATGTGTCCCTTCACGTCGATGTTTCTCACTCTCTCTCCCTTCCTCTCTCTCCCTCCCACTCTACCTGTACAAAAAATGGAAAAATATCCTCGGGTGAGGATTAAAAAAAAAAACAAAACTCAGAGAACAAAAAAAAAAAAAAAAAAAAGAGCTTTTAGAAATTGACAACTTAATAGCCAAAATAAAAAATTCAACAAAAGGATTAAAAGATAAAGTTAAGGAAATCTCCTAGAGTGTAAAGTCAAAAGACAAACATATGGAAAACAGAAGAAAGAGGTAAATATTCTAGAGGACCATTACAGGGGGTCCACTATCTGAGTAAGAGAAATTCTCAAGAAAGAGATAACAGAAAAGAGAAAGAAAATTTCTAACAATATAATTCAACAAAACTGTGAAGAACTGAGGGGTGCAGGTTGAAAGGGCCCAGCACACCAAGCACAGTGTGAAACTGCAGAAACTGCAAAGAGAAGATTCTACAAGCTGGAGGGTGTCCTTCGCCAAGTGGTAAACAAGAGTCAGAAGATCTAGTAGAAACAAGCAACAGAGGACCCCAAGATAACTACCACATGAAGAAGCCAGTCAGCCCAGAGAAGTGTAACCCCAGGGAGAGACACACTGGAGATGTCATCACCAACATCCACTGCCATTAAACCCTCTTTATTTATTTATTTATTTATTTATTTATTTATTTTTCCCCTTTATTAATTTTACAGAGAGAGGACGGGAGAGGGAGAGAGAGATAGAAACATCAAATGAGAAAGAAACATCTATCAGCTCCTCCTCCTACACACCCTCTACTGGGAATCAAGCCCACAACCCGGGCATGTGCCCTGACCGGGAATCCAACCAGGACCCCTCAGTCCATGGGACAATGCTCAATCCACTGAGCCACACAGCTGGGCTGCATTACCCGTTTTCTAACATCACAATACTACTATCACACCTAGAAAATTAATAATAATCCCTTGATATTGGTCTATAATAAAATTTCCCCCACATCTCAAAAACACCTTTTTATAATTAGACTGTTATGAGCTAAATTGTGCCACACGCGCACACACACAAATGTTTATGTTGAAGCTCTAACCCCCAGTACCTCAGAATGTGACTGTCATTGAAGATAAGGCCTTTAAAGATGTAATTAAGTTAAAACAAGGCCTTTGGTGTGGGTCCTAATCCAACCCCCCTGATGTCCTTGTAAGAGGAGATGGGGGGGACCAGTGCTGCATGTGCACAGAGGCACAACTGTGTACAGAGGCAGGAAGAGGGTAGCCATTTGAAAGCCCAGGAGAGAAGCCTCAGAGGAAACCAACTTTGATAGCACCTTGATCTTGGGCTTCCAGCCTCCAGAACTATAAGAAAATACATTCCTGTTGTTTAAGCTACCCAGTCTGTGATATTTTGTTGTGGTAGGTAGCAAAACAATACACAGACTATCCAAATCAAAACAAGGTTCATTGGGTATCATTCTTTTTTTCTCTCTTCTCTCTCTCTCTCTCTTTTTTTAATCCTTACCAGAGGATATTTTTTCCATTTATCTCTAGATAGAATGGGGGGCGGGGGGAAACAGAGAGAAAGAAACATCAATGTGAGAGAGATACATAGATTGGTTGCCTCCCGCATGACCCCGACCAGGGCGGGGGACAAACTGCAACTGAGGTACGTGCCCTTGACTGAAGTCGAACCTGCAACTCTTTGGTTCATGGGCTGACGCTCTAACCACTGAACCAAACCAGCCAGCGCCATTGGGTATCATTCTTAAGCCACATTACTTTTTTCATTTTTTTTTTTTTCGATTTCTTGCAAAAGCCAAGTCAGTTGTTCAACACCAAATTTATTTGTTTGCTTCTTTAGTGTGTAATTTAATTTGTCATCATCCTTTGCCCTATATTTCCAATAACTCAAAGTCAGCTCCAGAGGCTTGATAAGACTTAGGGGTCAACTTTTAGGTAAGAATATTCCATAGCCCTGGTCAGTTTGGCTCAGCGGTTAGAGCGTCGGCCTGCGATCCAGAGAGACCTGGGTTCGGTTCCTGCTCAGGGCACATACCTTGGTTGCAGTTTGTCCCCAGCCCCAGTAGGGGTTGTGTGGGTGGCAACCAGTCAATGTGTCTCTCTCTTTTTTTTTATCCTCACCTGAGGACATTTTTCCATTTTTTGTTCAGATAGAGTGGGAAGGAGAGAGAAGAGAGAGAGAGAGAGAAACATCGACATGAAAGGGACACATCGAGTGGTTGCTACTCGCTCGACCCAACCAGGGCCGGGGACAAACTGCAACCGAGATACGTGCCTTAGCAGGAACCGAACCCAGGGTCTCTCTGGACCACAGGCCGACACTCTAACCGCTGAGCCAAACTGGCCAGGGCAATGTGTCTCTCTCTCATCGATGTTTCTCTTTCTCTCTTCCTCCCTCCTGCTCTATCTGAAATGCAAAAATGTCCTCGGGTGAGGATAAAAACAAACAAACAAAAAAGAATATTCCATAGGTGGTACTACATACCCTCTTTTTAATGTGACAAATTGTGATATGTAAACTCTGATTCTGTTTGCCTTGACCATGTGCTAATGAAGTATCCGCTTGTCCCCTCCTTGCTGTCTGTCTGGGTTACAGTTCATCCCACAGGTAAGTTTTGCTTTGACCTACTCTCTGAAAGCTAGAGATAGGCCATAGAGACAGAGCAGGAAAGACAGAGAGAACAGCCCAGTCTCTGTGACCATATCCCACCAGATGTCCAGTGCCTGGCCCACTCTACCGTCCCATCAGATGCCCCAGTAGTGGTGGGCCTCATATTTCCTAGGATTCACTCACCGTCTTGCCCATTGACTTCCCCATTAGGACCTTTTGGAACTCCCAGGGAAGGTAAAGCCAGACAATCAACCCAAGTAAGATCAGTTTATGTTTAGATCTAAGAGTGGCATGTTGTACTTTTCTTATAAAGCTTGCCAGATTTATTTATGTTTGCATTTTTTTAAATGTTTTTTCTTTATTTTATTGATTTTAGAGAGAAAGAGATAGGAAGTGAGAGAAACATTGATGAGAGAGCACAGTAATTGTCCACCTCCTACATGCCCCCCACTGGGGATTTGGCCCACAACCTAGGCATATACCCTGACCGGGAATTGAACCAGCAACCTCTTGGTGCATGGGTTGATGTTCAACCACTGAGCCACACCAGCTGGGCTTGCATCTTAAAAAAAAAAAAATTAAACAATATATAGTTTAGTAATATGAACATGGGTGATTAAACCATAAAGAAAAGTAAGGGAATGATAAATACAAAAGTCAAGATAATCATTGCTTCTGGTGAGGAAGGAAAGGAGACTGGATTTGGAGGCACAGGGTACAGAAGCAGCTTCTAAGGTACCAATAATATTCAGTTTGATAAATTGCATGGTGGATAGACAATTTTCATTCTATTATTCTTCTTTAGACTGTAAATGTATATTTAAAATACTCTTTGGTTGTATGTGTTCCATATTACTTATTTTACGTGAGCAGAGCACTGTAACTAGAACACAGGGCTTGAAGTATAGAGTGAAAGGAGGAATGACTGGAACTGAAGTTGACTCTGAAGGCAACTGGGAGTCTCAGTGATGCTCTCTTGGGAGTACCTACAGGGGATATTTATACCCAAGATCAGTTACAATAGCTTTCTCACCATCTATCTATCTATCAAGGAAGATGTCAAAAATCATTTTTTTTCCTACTAAGTTATCCAGAGATGAAATATCCAGCACTGTAACCCTTTCACTGAGAAACTTAATGAGGTGTTGGTATGTTTTTTCCAAAGAGAGGAGATTCAACTTGCCCTAGGGAACACGTCTGCCTCCAATTCTTAAAACAAAGCTAGGAGGGATGCCGAACAAATGTTCTAGATGGCAGAATTGGGATGTATCTTGGTGAGCTGGAGTGACAAGTCAAATCTAGCCCAATTTATATCAACATCTACCATTTACAGAGAACATATGATATGCCAAGAGCTTTACATAATGTATCTCATTTATTCCTCATAACCCCACTGGGAAGCTGAGACCCAGGAAGTAACTTGCCCAAGGTCACAAAGAAAGTCAATAGCTGAGTCATGATCTGAACCTAGGTTTTTAGATTAAAGTTTCGATCTCAAGTGAGATTTCTTTAGTTACCAGATATTAACATTTAAAAACTGGTTCTTCTTTATTCGATTCAGTCTGTCAAACTCAGAGACCTGCCACCCAATCCCAAACCCTTTGGGCATATGAGGGTATCAGTACCTCAGAAAAATGATTACATCGGACTGATTTTATTCATGAAGGTAACATTCGGGGACCCTCTGACAGCTGCCAGGAAAATTCTGTCTGCCCTCAAGAGCAAGGCTGTCATCAAGAGTCAACTGTAAGAGGATTCCCAGCTCAGCTATGTCTGCCTTCCCATCTATATTTAAGACTTTGCAAAATTCAAACCCTGCTGTTGTAGACCGTGGTTCTTTACACAAAGGGTGCTGAGCAAGTCCCCTTAGCCAGCCTGTTCCCCACCTTCAATTTTCTCTCGGCCTCAGGGCCACTGTGATTTGATGGGTGTGTGAGGCTGAAAGAACAGCACAAACAGCCATAGCCAATGGAGCAATCCCGAAAAACAGCCAGAGAATTTTAATGAAAACCAGAAAACTCCAGGCCACTAAATCCAACTGCAGTTCAGGCCCGCCAGCCCCTCCTCCTGCAGCTAAGAATCCCTGAGCCAGCATCGCCCCAAACAGCAGGGAGAAAAATCCATTTTGCATTCAGCAGCCTTCCACAGCAGCCACTTTCCAGGGTCATTTCGGTGACAGGCAGGGCACACTCTAATCACAATAGGACCTAGGGATCCTGAGAGACACAGGGTGTGGCAGCAGCAAAGATCTGAGCCAACATATTATGAAACAGGCATTTTTTTAAAAAGTGTCTCTTTCTGCCAAAGCTGTCTGAACACAGCCGCATACAAAGCTAGTTAGGAATCTTAACAAGCTTAAAGGGACCATATTTCAGATACTTAAGAACTACAGATAAAGGACATTAATATTTTGAGCACTTGCTATGTGTCAGGCCCTCTTATCTCATTCTACCTTCACCTTGAGGTGGGAATTATAAACTGCATGCAACGAATAAGAACACTGACTCAGGGGTTAGATTACTTGTCCGAGGCACACAGCTGGCAGGTGGTGAACCAAGATTCAAAGTTCAATGTGGGTGAGGCTCATCAGAAATAAATACAGACTCCTGACCTGTGCTGCCTAATAAAAAGAATCATCATTTACTGAGCATCGGCTATGGGCCTGGAACTAAGCTAAGATTTCTGCATGCTATATCATCTAATCCTCACAGCAACCAAGTAAGATAAAAAGCATTATTATCCCCATTTTCAGTGAGGAAAGGAAGTCTAGATGTTAAAGAATTTGGTCAAGGTCATGACATTGCCAGGACCTGATCCCAGGTCTATCTCATTTAGAGCCTCCGTGGTAAAACACACCTGTCAGCCTACAGAGGGGAATCACCTAGGCCATCATGCCAAGAGAGCAAATTGCATAGAGACTTCTGCCCCCCTTCCTGACAGGAAATCTACATGCCAGGGTTACCTTGTAATTCCTCTAGCATTCCTCAGTGGCAGCACAGAATCACTGGCTCTGGATAGGCCGACGGTGACATTTCCCCCTTCCCGTGGACTGTGGGTGCTGCTGACACTGTACATGTGAAGGAGAAGGCTACTTCCATGGTTCTCAGATGCTTGTGAGTACAGAAGCTGACTGCTCCCTTCTGCGGGCTGTGCTCCACAGGCCCACACACCTCACAGCAACCTCCACCCACCCCCGAAAAACAGCTCACAGGCTATTTTGTATTCTTAACAGGAGACCATGTGCCTCCTCTTAGAGCCACTGTGATTTCCCAAAGGAGACAACTGTCTAGACAGAGCATCCCAATCCATCTTGACCAGAGATGGCCACAAGGTCATGTTTGAGCATGTCCTTTTGGGGACTGTATTCAATGGCCCAGGGAAGGCTCTGGCTTGGCAGCCCTGGGTTATCAGACTGAGCATCGCTCTGCACAACAACTGATATCCAGGGTTAGAACTGCCTTCCTTCCCAGCCAGGCAGGCGTTACCTCAGGGGAGTCACAGGCATCTTACACACCCAGCTATGAGTCACACGCACACAGGCACGCTATATAAACAGTGCCATTAATCAGGCTGAAACTTCACAGAACTCTTGTACACGTGTTCAGAATTCAGCATCAGGCTTTGAAGTGCACTGGACACCTAATGTGCACCAGGCAATGTGACAGGTACATTCCCAGCTGATATCTTAATCTTCACAACATTCTGTGACATAGATAAGATTGCTGTTATACAGGTGAGGCAACAAAAGCCCAGAGAGGTAACATACTTTGCCCAAAGTTACATAGAAAATGGCAAAGCTCACCCTGGCCGGTTGGGCTTAGCAGTTAGAGCGTCGGCCCTCAGACCAGAGAGGCCCAGGTTCAGTTCCTGCTAAGGGCACGTATCTCAGTTGCAGTTTGTCCCTGGTCCCAGTTGGGGTCATGTGGGTGGCAACCACTCGATGTGTCTCTCTCATATCACTGTTTCTCTCTTCCTCCCTCTCTCCCTCCCACACTATCTGAAGACAAATGCAAAAATATCCTCAGATGAGGATTTTAAAAAAAGAAAGAAAAAAAAGAAAATGGCAAAGCTCAAATACATTAAAAAATTTTTTTATTTATTGATTTGAGAGAGAAAGAGAATGTTGATTTTTTTGTTCGACTCATTTATACATTCATTGGTTAATTCTTGTATATGCCCTAGAAGGGATCAAACCTGCAACCTTGACGAATCAGGAGATACTCTAACCAACTGAGCTGCCTGGCCAGGGCTCAACTCCACTTTTAATATGCCTCCACCCCCTTACATTCAGTATATCATGAAGCCATTCATTAGTCCTCAGACATTCATGAAGCACCTTCTGTGGACAGCTACTATGCCACTCCAGAAGATACAACTGCCAAGGTGATAGCTCAGAACCAGGGATCAATGAACTTATGTTCTCATGAAGAGAGAGAGCACGGTGATCTGAAAGATAGATACAGGATGATAAGATTAGGGCCTCAGATGGGTGATCAGGACAGGCTTCTCTAGGAAGTGGCCTTTGAGCTGAGACCTGAAAGGTGAGACTAAGCCAGCCATCTGCAAAGCTCAGAAAAGGAGAGTGTAGGCAGAAGGAACCGTGCAAGGGCCGTCTGCAGGAAAGCGCTTGGCATGTCTGCAAGCGAAAAGGCACCAGGACCAAGGCTGAGTGAGCAACAAGGAAAAAGAATGAGATGAAGCAGGCCTTCTTTACCACAGAAAAATTTGGATTTTGTCATAAAAGCAAAGGGAAATCAAAGAAGAGTTTTAACTGGGTGAGTGACAATCTGACGTGTACCTTAAAGACAGAATTCTGGTTCCTGTGTGGCAGAGGGAGTGCAGGGAGGGGCAGAGTTGGGAATGGACAGACAGGAGAGGAGTTCGGGTGGGGAAAATGAAATGAGCTGCCAGGGTACTGATGACTTTCCTGTCACACTGTTCAAGCATAAACCAAATGACCCCCTAGGCGAGATGCTTAAATAATTCAATAGTAGGCGGACAAATTCCCCTACACCTAAAATCCTAAACCCTAGAATTCTGTGGTTTTAAGATAAAATCTTCATTAATCGACTTTCAGAACTGAGTTTCCACAACTTCCTTGGTAAATCCAACCTTTCAAAAGGCAAACAAGAACAATATTAGCTTATTTCTGTCAATATAAAGTGACTCCTAGTTTACTTCTAAAAAGATTTGGTATAGGTTAAAGGCAAAAACTGAAATCAGATAGCCTAGACTAGCTCTGTAATCTCTGGCAAGTAACTTAAATCCATTGGGTCTTAGTTTCTTTCTTTGAAAAATAAGAAAAATAATGCCTAATTCAGAATAATTGTTGTACAGACCCAAGTCCAATGTCTGAAACATTATAATAAAAATAATGATGACTGACATTTATTGAGCCATTACTACATGCTTGTGTGTACTATGTGATCTATGTGCATTTTGACATCTAATCCTCACACACACAAAAAAACCCAGAAGGTAGACACTATTACTATCTCCATATTAAAAATTAGGAAACAATCCTGGCCGCTTTGGCTCAGCGGTTAGAGCGTGGGCCTGCGGTCCAGAGAGACCCAGGTTCAGTTCCCACTAAGGGCATGTACCTTGGTTGCAGTTTGTCCCTGGCCTTAGTTGGGTTGTGCGGGTGGCAGCCACTCGATGTGTCCCTTTCACATCGATGTTTCTTTCTCTCTCTCTCTTTCTCTCTCTCCCTCCCACTCTATCTGAACAAAAAATGTAAAAATGTCCTCGAGCCTTGGCCAGTTTGGCTCAGCGGTTAGAGCATCAGCCTGCAGTCCACAGAGACCCGGGTTCGGTTCCCGCTAAGGGCATGTACCTTGGCCGCAGTTTGTCCCCGGCCCTGGTTGGGTCGTGTGGGTGGCGGCCACTCGATGTGTCCCTTTCACATCGATGTTTCTCTCTCTTCCTCTCTCTCCTTCCCGCTCTATCTGAGTAAAAAATGGAAAAATGTCCTCGGGTGAGGATAAAAAAAAAAAAATTAGGAAACAGCCCTGGCTAGTTTCGCTCAGCGGTTAGAGTGTCGGCTTGTGGACCAGAAAGTCCTGGGTTCAATTCCCGCTAAGGACGCATACCTCTGTTGCAGTTTGTCCCTGGTCCTGGTTGGGGTCGTGTGGGTGGCAGCCACTCCATGTGTCTCTCTCACGTCAATGTTTCTCTCTCTCCTCCCCACTCTCTCCCTCCCACTCTGTCTGAAGATGAATGCAAAAATGTCCTCGCATGAGGATTAAAAAAAATAATTAGGAAACAGATTTCTAGAGGTTAAGTAACTCATCCAAGAGTCATGTAGCTAGTTATTGCTCACATTAGGAAAAAAAACAAGCAAATAAAAAACTTCAACAAAAGTTTACAGAAGCCCTGGCCAGTGTGGCTCCATGTTTAGGGCACTGGCCTGTGCACTGAAAGGTCACAGGTTCAGTTTCCAGTCAAGGGCATGTACCTGGGTTGCAGGTTTGATCCCTGCCCTGATCAGTGCACACACAGGAAGCAACCAATTGATGTGTCTCCTTCCCATCGCTGTTTCTCTCCTTCTCTCTCGCTCTCTCTCTCTCTCCCCTCCCCCTCTTCCTCCCTTCCACTCTCTCTAAAAAAAAAAAAAAATCAATGGAAAAAGTATCCTAGGGTAAAGATTAACAACAACAAAAAAAAAGTTGAAAGAAAAAGACAAAGAAAACCACATTTACATAATTTGAAAAAAGAAGATGTAACCTACTGTTAAATTTAACAAACAATTCAATTCACTGACTAGACATTTAGTAAATATTTACTGAACATATAAATGAATAATTGAATGGATAAATCATTCCAAAAAACATTTATTGAGTTCCTACCAGGCATAGCATCAAAATATAAGGTTAGAGAGAATTCATATCAATGTAATTCAAAGTTTGCCATTAAGACCACAATCTTTTATATTTTTTTATTTTTGTTACAGATGTTTCTCCTTTTTCCCCCCACGGACACCCTCCTCCCAATCCCACCCCCCACCCCAGCATTGTTGTCTGTGTCCATGGTTACACATACACACATATAAGTTCTAAAACCACAATCTTCGAACTGCAGATAAACTGCCAACATAATGACCCGTAGTCCACAAAAGAAGATCCTAAGAAATATCATTCTCATACAGACCAAAAGAAGCCGGAATAACTGTTGTTCTTCCTTAGGGAAGTCAAACTGTTAGAGGGGTGCTCAGAGTAGCTGGCAAAAGACAGAGCAGTCAATAAATGGAAGCCTAAGAGTAGTCTC